TTTAGTAGGATTTTGTCCATTTCGTCCATGCCTATAAGGATATCAACTGGACCAGGTTTGGCGAGACTTGGGTCAGCCAGCGATAAATCCAGAATGTGTGGCCACGGTGGTGTCGGTACAGCGGTGGATGGAAGATCATTAGTAATTTTGGGTAACACGAATGTACTCACTTGGAAGTTTGCGTCTAATGATCGCGGTGATATGCGTAGGGTTACTTCTCCCTTTGTACGGCCACCTTGGGTAGCCCCTATACCTGTGACGTAAGCGGATGAAGATCGTCTGGGAAGTCGAAGTCGTTGAGCGCAGGCCTCAGTTATGAATGAGGCGTGCGAGCCGTTATCGAGGAGGGCACGAGCTGGTTGCCAACGACCAGCGTCATCTTGTACTAAGACTGCGGCGGTTGCCAACAAAGTGACACGATCAGCATCAGCGTAATGTGACGTGACACTAACGTGCTGGCTTGTTGCGTTCGTAACGGTTGATTCCTCTTGGTTGTTGAAACTTGCGTGCAACAGCGTGTGATGGCGTTGCCGACACATGCGGCACAATGATGAACTGCGACATTTCGCAAGAATGTGCCCTTTGCTAAGGCAGTTTACTATTTGCGTCGAGTCGGCTAAACTTTGAGCAAACGTATATTTTGTGGTCGCCACTGCAATAAGCGCAAGCAGACGCCTTGCCGACGTCGCATGCTTCTCCTTGGCTACATGTTGTGTGTAGAACATTCTTCGCAACTACCTTCGTGTTGGCAGGCGCAAGCGGTAGCATCTCTAAAGAGCGTGCACGAGTTTCTAGAAATTCACGAAGAGCGTTAAACGACGGCAACTCGTCACCCACAAGCGACAATTCCCATTGTTTGCGGGTTTCGTATGCTAATTTTGATACAGTTAGGTGGATGAGCCAGTCATCCCAGAACTCGGTTGGTCGACCAAGCGCGCGTAGCGCACCGATGTGCTGCAATGTAGCATTAAGTACGTGCTTGATTGCCTTGTCGGAGTCTTTGCTCGCCTTTTCTATAGATGACAGAGCCCGTATGTGACTGTCCACCATGACTCGTATGACCTTGTACCTTGAGGTCAACAAGTCCCATGCCTCACGATAATTACTGTCACACACTGACAAACTACTCACCAAATTAAGTGCTTCACCTTTCAGGCAGTTACGCAGATACTGCAGTTTTTGCCCATCCGACAGGGTTGCGTTCGCGTTAACCAGCGAACAAAATGAGTCGTGGAAGGATAACCATTCCGTGGGATCACCACAAAACGAGGGAACTGCATCTTTGGCAGCGACGTGGATGCATGCGCAACCGGAACAGGATTATGCGGTGGTGGTTGTATGTGCGATGACATAAGCCGTTTAAAGTTGGCCTTAGCAGTTATGTACCACTCCTCGCATTGTATGCGCGATTGTTCCTCCATAGGAGCGTTCTCGTCGCCACATGACAGCTCCACTTCTTGTTGAGCTTCGCAAAAACGAACCCACTGCTCTTCCAATAATTATAGATGCGTGGAAAGCACTTCGACGTCCACCGAAAGCACATCTGCTTTACTCGACTGCAAATGTCGCTTAATGGAGTTTAAAGCGGAATCGCGGATTTTGAGCGAAGACATTTGCGTGTAAGGGCAACG